GCATGATATCCCCCAAAACAGGTTTCCTTGCACGGCTAAGTAATCAGTAACTAGTTTTCTGCAGTCACGCGTCAACCTTTGTTAAAACACCTTCAAGTACCCGGACTTTTCGCCTTTCGGTTCACTCTTTCCTTTCCTAGGTCTGCTAAGTATTCAGTAGCTAGTTTTCTGCAGTCACGCGTCAACTTTTGTTAAAACACCTTCAACTTGCTCGGACCTTTCGCCATTCCGTTGAGCCATTCCTTTCCTTGGGGAACTGAGTTAACTGAATACAATTGTCAGAGTGTGTGAGGCAGTGTGGAAAACCTTTGGATTCATAGGATCTTCTCCGCAATGCACGGTGCAAATCCCACTTTTGTTGTGCAATTCTGCTCGCCCCGACCAGGACGAACCTCTTGAATTTGATGTCCTGCACTCTGAAAGCGGAATCCAGCTACATCTGCCCCTCAAAAACTGGGCCGTGGACTCCTTGCAAGTCCAGGCCCAAAAAACCTCGTAACCTGGTACATCTCAAAGAATGAATACTTCCAAGTGTGAGTGGGTCACCTTTGACCGCACTGGGCCTCCGAATTTGGCTGGTTTTCACTCCGAACGGCCGAGGCCCACATCCTCCTCCAGCTACTTCCAGCGGCCAGGGCGCTCAATCTTCTCAATCAGTCGATGCAACGTCTGTGGGTACCTTAGCACGAGGCAGATCGGCAGAATGTGCCTGATTGTGAACCCCACTCCCAAGCACATACAAAGTTAGGAAACCGTCCACGCCCGGCCCGACGCTCATCCAAGTGGCGCGTAGCGCTCGCTGCAGGGGAACCGTGGATGGTGCACGTAGCGCGAACCTGGGCATCAGGGGCCCATCAGCCGCGGGAGCTGTTCTGGCTCAAGAAGGGGGGGGGGGGAAATGATTTCGGAGGCAACACATACCAGGACCCTCCAAGGGGTGCCCTATGGAAGCGTATAGGTAGTGTAGGGTAGTCCGTTGGACACCCCGACAGGAGGGTCCACATGACATAGGGCGATCGCATGGAGCTCTTTCACACACATCCGTCTCACACGTCCAGTTCATCGGGGTGGTATGCTTCGTCGACACCAGGCAGGTCATCTTCAAATCCCCCAGAGCGACCGGCGGTCCGTCAGCAGCACCTCCACACTCAGGGATGGGCCTATAGGGATGGGCGAAGGATTCTGACACATCGATCGCAAACAACATCTGCACACTTGTTACTAGTAGCCATGGCCTCCAAACTCGTAGCCATGGCCTCCAACCTACTCCAACCTAATAGCGATGGCCTCCAACCTAGTAGCTCCTTGCTATACTAGCAGATTTTGTTGCAGAGTTCCCGGTTCGATGGTCACTTGTAAGGGTTTTCTCGACCTGTGCTCGTTTTTTGGGAGCCAATGGACTCCCAACCTCACAGGGTGTCCAGATGCGTCCAGCAATGCACTTTTGATACAGAAAGAACCAACCATGATGTAGACTCTTGATTAAAAATACTCCCACATGAAGAGGACTTGTAATCCAAATGGGATGGTCTAATCAAGAGTCCTACATTACATATCCATGATGCATACAAATTGACCAACAACCATGTCTTGAAGACCACAAGGACCGACCCCATCCAACCACTGGCCCAGAAACGCAACCGCTCCAGCTTTCCGCTGGCTTGCCGCGCTGCCTCTAGAAGCACCGCGTTGCCAAAGTCCTGAGCTTGTGGGGAGCGCCCTGTTTGGAGGCGCTTGAGATCTGTGTACCTCTAGTCTTCCCTCACACCCGTCAATACCCTGAATGTTGGCAGTTCCCAAACACCCCCAGTAGGTCAATGTAACGTTCGCAGGTTCATCCTGGACACAAGCATTTGTGCCAGTTACAAAGCTCATCATCAATCCCAAGTCTCAAAATCTGAAGGTGTCTGGAAACATGGGGGTCGCGCTCAGCCTAAATCATTAATCTCTCGACTCAGCACAACATCTCGACTCAGCTGGTTGCAAAACTTGATTGAGAGCCTTAGCAGCCCATGCTTGGCACAGTGCTTGGCACCAGGGGCACGAGCCAAATCAACCCATCAACCTGCCACAGACTTGGAGCCGATCAACCCATCATCCCCGATGGGAGAAGAATCAGGGCCCTTGGAGCCTCCATCACGCGTTTCTTCCACGGTGGCCCGTGCGTCCACCAACGAGATCCCGTTCCACTTTCGCCACAAGCAAAGCCTTACAGCCTTAGATTCCCCCTAGGGCTCCAAGTACCTTCTGTTCTGAGGAGGTACTTGGAGCCCTAGGGCCTGATATAGATGCAAGCAAAACAACACTGTCAGCCAATCCAAGAGCCAGCTAAAACACCACCACTCCCCTCGTTGCCAAACCATCACTTCCGCCTTCACTTCCGCCACTTCCCATCTCAGCCGGTTGAGCGTCCACCAAGCGTACCACACCGGCATCGTCAATGCAGCAGTTGCTCGCAGAGATATCTGCATGCACCACGCCACACAGCCCCAAAAGCTCTACCTAGCAGAAAGCGGTCGAAACGGCAGCATTGGTCAAACACCCGCCTGGATTTTTTCCCCATGGCTCCGTGCTTCCTGCTCCGGCATGAACGGAGATGAACTCTGCAAAAAAGAGAACATCATATTTCAATCAAAAAATATTCGAAAAGTTATAAGTCGTCAATTCCATCTATTTGGGGACCCAAATCCCACTTAGTTCGAGCACCCCCCCCGCAAACCAACATGGAACCGGAGAATTCCTAGAAGACCATTTTCCAGTGGTTTTTGGGGTTCCATGTGAATCTGCAGAAAAGTAGCCATCTTCGTAGCCCTTTAGGCTTAAGGGTTCCTTCCCTTCCCCTCCTCTCCCACAGCTCAACCAGCCAAAGCCACTCCCTCCAGCAGCTGCTCCACGATGGCACTACGCTCCACTGGACAGGTCGACCGCGGACGAATGGCACTCCGTTCCTCCTGCCACCGCTGCTCCAAAGGATCGCCTCGATGGCGGCAACGATCCACATCGTGGGGTTGTGTGACTGGTGAGCAAACAATATGAAACACTGCGAGGGTTTCAAAGGTACATAAGGGTACAACACCGGACGACCAGTTTCAAGTGGTAGAACGGACCCTTTTTTTGTCCACCACTGTTGACTTCCAGCATCTCAACTACAAATAGTGACCGCACATTGCACAAGTTCATTCTTGGAGACGTTGTATCGATCCATTGGTTTTTTCTGTGGCATGGGGATGACATGGGATGACTATTCTCTTACCAGCCAAACAATACCTCTGTGAGACTAATGGGCCACTCGACCGTGCAGGGCGCAATGCCGGACCGCCGAAAACACAGACAGGGCCTGCGTGCTCCAGGATCAGCATCAATTCCTGATTCGCCGGCGCCTCCTTAAGGGGACGTTTCTGGCGCCGGCGATCGATTTTGAAGCGTCTCTGGAAGGAAGGGTCGTACCTCGACCCGAGATCGTTGCTCAAAAGAATGTCCTGCAAGTCAGTGGTGAACAGGAACCCTTTGGCACCATGCAGAACCCCAGCTCTCGTGTCAGAACCCTCTCACCATCACCACACGGAAATTCTTTTCGAGATGTTGGCAGGTCCGCCACGCTAAAACACACATGCGGCATCCTTGGCAAGCTACACACAAAACGAAGGTTTTAACCTCACGAATCATTCATGAAATCAGGTATAGATGGGTATAGCATCCTTGTCTATCAAATCTTATGTTTATTTGGTGAATCCTTCTGGTACTTAGATGGTAATTAGGGTCAACCTGGCCTGATCAATCAGCTGTCTACCTTCGTCTTCTCTTCAGCCAATCCACCGGCGCCACCCCAACGAAGCGCGGTTCCGCCGCCAGCAGCGCCGCCACGTGCCGCCGGCCGCGGAATTCCGCGGCGGTGTCCGCGCGCGCTGCCACGTGGCTGAGGCGTTCGCCGATGGCCTCGGCTCGGTCACCACACTCGGTTGCTTTCCGCAAAAGGATCAACAGACCCAGATATCTCTTGGGGCGCCGACACCAAGTTCCAAGATCCAAAAAACCAGCTACTGCGCCCTGCGGATTGGGATTGGGCTGTGGGTCAAGACCAGGAGACGGTTGCTGTGGGTCAAGCTTTGGGCGTGGCAAAAGGCTTGGTTTGCTCTGGGCTGAAACCCGTGCTGAATCAGTGCTGTGAGAGGCCGGATGGGGAGACAGCTTCTCCATGGCCTTCTCCATGGCCTTCTCCATGGCCTTCTGCTTGGGCGGCTTGGGTTTGCGACGGCGTTTCTTTGAGCAACCCCCAAATACGGGAAAACCACAACTCCTGCTCAAGAGGCACCCCAACAAAGGTCCCAAACGTCGTTTAAGAGACTCTAAGGCGCCGGACCCGTTCCTTCTGCCATTGTTCACGATGTTGTCCTGGAGACGAGTCATTGGTCAAGACATGTCAAGTTGACACCATCTCTCTCTCTCTCTCTCTCTGCCCCATGCGTGGTCCTGCTTCTGTCCGCTGCAGAACGTGTCCCCCCGAGCCCGCCCCGAACCCGCTCCTAAGAGCTGTTGCCCGAAGAAGGCGGCCACCGCCGCGTCCACCGGCGGGAAGTGCTTCAGCACCGCTCGCCGCGGCACCGCTCCGGACGCGCACCTGGTGACGGCGCTGAGGGCGAGAGCTCCGAGCCAGTGGCGGAAGGGCCGAGGTTTGGGCGGATGGGCCGTGGCATGTGCAGCGGAGAGCGGCCGTTCTTTTTCGGGGTGGAGTCTTCTCCTGGATGTCTGAGTGAAATAGAGAGAGCACTGATTTTGAGTTCGTCGATCAAGGTGATAGAGAGGATGCTGGCGCTTCAAGTTACTAGGAGGCCAGTGCGTTACTTGGCCAGCGAGTGGACCACTGCAAATCCTCAAGCGGTCTCGCACTTCTGTTTGCCAAGTGCTCGTCCCAACTGGTGCAAGGACGAGCCGGTCACCAGGGGTCGCCATTCTTCGCAGGATGTGCAGCACAAAACCTCGCCACACGTGGCACATAGCCAGAACAAAACGGTTCCAAAACCGATCCGGCTCTACCCCTCCAGCCACTCCAACTCTCAGAATCATTGCACTGGTCGTGCTGAAAATTTAGCAGCTGAGCGCCCACCCACCGGCCCCCCGCGGCGCCCGCGGCCTCAACCGCAGCTCCCAAACGCTGGCATAGCTGCCACTGCCCAAATGCCGCTCTGGCGGTCACCAAACGGGTCGGTCGGTGCGAAGTCATTCGAAGTCCCACATCCAAAGGGTCAGGAGCATGGGGAAGTACTGTGTCCAAACTGAAAGTATCTAAACAGTGTCTTCCTTACCTGAAGCTTCCTTCGCTTTGTTTGCCTTTTCTCTTCCTTCTTTTTCTCCTTCGCTTTGTGAAGCAAAAGAATCAAAAGAAGTTCCCTGTCGAGTCCCCGAACAACAATTCTGTTCATAACCCAAACACTCCATGGGACTGCCAAATATGCCGCCCCATTGACCCCCCCTGGCACCACCCCTGGCCGTTTCTCGGCAGTCCTATGGCAGTCCCATGGAGTAATCAGGGACAACTCCGACCATCACCGTTGACTCGGATCCATTCGCCACCTCCGCAGCTGGATGCGCGCGCGCCTGGCTTGGCCAAGACCTCGTGTTGTCTCACATGGAATTGGAGCTCGCAGCCCTGTTCCAATAGCCGAGCTGCATGGCACGCCTGGCCGCTGGGTTGGCTGCAGGTTGAAAGAAAGAAAGAATCTCCCTGAAAATCCGGAACAAGACCATTCTGCCAGGAGTCACAAAGGGGTGGTGTCTGGTCCCTAAGTGAGTGGATAATGGGCACCCCTTACCTCCATTAAGCACCCCTGTGTGACTGCTGGTGGTCTGGGATGGTCTGGGTGTGTTTTTTGGACATCAACGAGCCCCCGTCGAAGATGTAAGACCATTCCGGTTTCGCTCTTTTCTGAAGACAACCTGAGATGTTCCTTCCCTTTTGCTTTGGCCAACCATGACGGACAAACACCAAGCAAATGTCACCAAAAAGGAAACATTTAGAGAGGAAGATTCACATGGTAAAGATTCACATTTCCCCTGTGGGCTGTGGAAGCTCCGTGCCAAGAAAACAGGTCGAAAGTCTGATTTGCCACCACTTCGCCGACCGCACCCCTTTTGGGGCTCGCTGCGTTCGCTGCGTTCCACACAAGTCGGTCGGTTGACTCTCAGTCCATCTCAGCGCGGAGGTACCGGCCAATGTTTGCGATGGCATCCTGTCCGGATTTCGTAGTTCCAGGGGTGGGGGGGGTGCCGAATCTGACCTCCACAACAAGTTGGGCCCCAAATGTGCCAGATCATCTTATTAGATCTGTTTTGTGTGGCATGTCGGAAGAGGCCCTAGTAGACCCCTACATCTTCGATGCTTGGAACCGGTAGGCAAACAAAGAAAAAAGCACGACGTAAGGTATGAATTACCAGGGGTGTCTAATTATAGCATATATTATAGCCCCTTAGAGGTTGAGGGGGGGCCCTGGTACTAGTTACTGGTGCTTCATGATATCATATTCCCGATGGGATCAAGTATCAACGCCAATGGCCACTCTGAGAAAGGGCGAGGAACACGTCTGGGCCGTGTCAGACATGTACTTCCAACAATTACAATGCCCAGTGACCAAGAACATGAACGGTAAACTCTCACATATTTTCAAAGCTGCATACCTGATCCTTGATACTTCCTGATACATATGTCCGCGTCCTTTTTGAACAAAGCCACGCCGACCCAGTCGATGGTAGTTCGGAGATCGACTACCATTGATGTCCCCGTTTCGCACGATGCGGTCGCGCAACGCAGGGTGTCGCAAGCAGCAAGCAGGTGGCAGGTGGCAGGTGTCCTGCTCGAGGTCCTTCTTCTCATGTCCCTCTTCTTGGTCTTCATCCTCCACATCCTCCTGGGACTCCTGTGTGCTTCCATCCACGGAGATCCTCAGCGCGCATGCGGGTCGAACGCTGCCCGTCTCCGCGGGTGCGACGAGACCCAGGAGAAGCGAGACCCAAAAGGAGAGAACTGGTCGAAGGATCTGGGTTTTAATGGGCTGGAATTGGAGTGGTATAGAGGTGCCAGACACCACAACACCCCAAGTAGCAACTAGCACTTTCACTTTCCCATCAAACAACCACTATAGTTATTCCCTATGCGTCCAAGACTAATTGTTTTAAGTTCGACTTAGATTTGCAGCCTCGACTTAAAAGTGTACTGTTTAGACATACCGCAGCATGATCCCCTTTGGATGGTAGCACGGGGTCTGACAGCCAGGAATCAACAGTGCATGGAACATAATTACAGTTAAATAAGTTCAACACATTAATTATTTATTGTCAGAAGTTTTTTAATTGATACTGATCGCATGTTAGTATCCGTGACGCGTGCGGATCTTCTTGCCCATTCGGACCAATTGAACAGTGGACTGACCATGGGCAAACCGTGGAACGACCTGAAAAAGGCATGGAACGACTTAAACAAGTCATGGAAAGACTTAAAAAGGTCGTGGACACCACCACCCCTGAGAATCCACTTGAAACATGTTTTACACAGCACTGGCACTGTCCATGAAAAAAGTCCACACAAAGGATGAACAGATTGGCTTCGTGCCCGGTGAAAGGATTGGAAAACGGCTTGACGATTTGCGACTGTGTACATGCACATGCGAAAACATGGGTTGAAGCCTTATTTGATGCTGCTCAGATCACTTCAACATGACATATGTAGGATTATGTAGGTTCCAGGAAAGGTCAAATACAGCGGCTCTTTTAAGTCTTTCATTCCCAGTTTAAGTCTTTGCTCGAAGACTTAGATTTTCCAAGACATTGGAAGTTTAGAGTATTTCATCATCACATCATCCGTACTTGGTCACCTCCAAACACTTCAGAATCACCGCCCGGTTCCCCACATTTGGTCCGCCCCAGCTGCTGCATCGCGATCAGGTCCCTCACGCGATGCCGCAGCTGCCGCCGCAGCGGCACCTCCTCCTGCAGCGGGTCGCTGGCGCCGTGCAGCGTCACGACCGCCACGGTGGGGTCGCTCAGCAGGACCTCCCACTGGGCCAGATCCGAGCTCAAGCGCCTGGATCGACCGGGAGCGGCGGAGCGGTGCGGAGGTCCGGAGAGGCTCGCCAGGGCCCTGGGCCCTGGTGAACTCAAAAGGACCACGTCATCCGTGCTCCACTCCTTCATTTCTGATAATAAACTAATTTAAGGTTCACGCACGGGAAGTGGCGAACTGTCCATCTCTTCTTGAGTGGCGAAACCCATCCCCAAACAAGAGAGACTTAAAGGCTATCCAGCTATCCACTGACTCAAAAGATCCCTTCAGAAACCAGACATCAAGGTCTTTTGCTCCGCGATGTTGGATGAGGATGAGGATGAGGATGATGATGATGATGAGGAGGAGGAGGAGGATGCTGAAACAGGGGCACAAATTGCAACAATAAATGTGTTGCGTAGGTCTATTTATACGTACACATTGTGTACATATATGCAGAGAGAGATTATATATTAATATAGTTATAGGTTATATATATTATATATATATATAGAAACCCGGTGGTCGGTGGTAAAGACATATAAAAACCACCATTGATTGATTTATATAATATATATAGCTTTTAAATGCTTTTAAACCGAACAACAAGTGTTTTGCTAAGGACTTTACGCCACAAAACCAGATCAACAACAATACATGCTTCATCACCTCTCGCCCAAATACAAATACCGTGGGTGCTGCGTATACGGTCTACGCCACTGTGTTCTTCCTGGCTGTTGGTGACTGCCCTGAAGGCCACAACAGGACCCGCCGTCTCCGGCCTCTCTTCGAAGAGCTTGCCATGGTGACGCATGCCGGAGTGCGGATGAGACATGAGATACCACCACCAAACACCCTGGAGAGACTCCTCACAGCGCCCCATTTGGGCCGGATAGAAGTGGAAAAAAAGGCGCCGATCATCGCTTCGTCCGAGGGAGGGAGGGCTTGATTTGAGGACGAACACGGTGGTTTTGGAAGTCCAGTACTCAATGAGGTCAAGGACTAGGCTTGGCCCTTGGACTTGTAGGGATGTGCTATCTGAACATGTGGAACATGCTTCTCTTGGCCCGTTGACCCCTCAAATCTACAACCATCCAAGATCATCCAAGAATTCTGACATGTTCCAATGGTTTCGGCACGAAGGATTCAACTCTGATGCTCATTTCCCATTGTTCCCCCAAATATGGTCCAAATGCGGACCAGTGGTGGACAAGATTCTTGTATTGGAGGTTCCATGTTGGAGTCGTAGGTTCCAAATCCAGTATACCCAGAACACTGGGATTCTCAAAGCCAACCGAAGATTCTTCCAGCACAGCCGGGCAAATGCTCCACAGAGGGCTGAACAAAAGGGGTTCACAGAAACAACATGAAACAACCAACCCCCCCACTAAGGTGCTGCATGGTGCTGCCATCCAGTCGTTCACCCAGCACCAAGCAGCACCAAACATGGCATCCTGCATATCATGCGCGGCTCCTCTTGACTATCTTCCTGCTCGCTGGCTGGAGTGCCGAAGGAGTTCAACAAGCTGGAATACTTCCCCCAACCTCAGCTAGCACACTGGCACAAAAATGTGCCAATCTACTGCGCATCCCACCGTTCACTTGTTGCAAGCATGGTCAAAGCATGTCAAAAAGCCATCTACCCTTGTGATGTGAATAAAAACTGATGAATTCCATCTTAGCTCCACAGCCCAACAGCCCAACTACACAACCCAATTCCATCTTCCATCTTAGCTCATCCCACAGCCCAACTACACATCAGCCTCATCACCCAGACACGACCTGTCTGGGACTGCCAGTCCGGACGGCCTTCAAAACGGCCAGGGATGGTTAACTGGGGGCCAATTGATCCGGTAGTCCTATGGCAGTCCCAGCCGGGTCATATGACTCATCATCCATTCACCGTGATACACCGAGCAAATCCTCAATCATCCAGGATCGCGGCCGCATGGCCCATGCACGTGGTCCCCGCAGCTATCGCTCGCGATAACTTCCGATCCCTTTGCTGCAACCATCTGCAGCCCACCACCCAGCTGTCAAAAAAAAAACTGCGCCCTCCACCCCAACGAAGTCACGTCGTCCTCCATCGAATCCAAACCCTCCAAGCGGCGATGAGAGCGCACGAAGCTCATCCATCCCGGGTAGCGTTCCTCGAGCCGCGCGCAGAGCCGCGTCGTCAGCGGCACCCACACGCGCCGCTCGCGGCTGACGCTCGAGCGCGGCAAGGAAGTGCCGCCCAGCGCAGCGGAGAGGCGCTGGGCGATGGACCTGGCAAGGAACTCGGTCTACCCAGTCGAGGGGCACGCCCGGGTGGACTGAGTCCCCGAAGCTGGACCGAGACCGGGTTTTGTAGAGGAAAGATTCGTCTTCCAAAGGTCCATGTTCTGGTTCGCCATGTGAGTTTGGAGTGTAGAGAGGACGACCAACGAAAAACAAAATAAACATTGGTGACACAATGTGACAGCGTTTTCTGCACGAGAGCCGGCAACACTTCACCCGGGAATTCGCAGCAGCAACACTTCAGTCGCGGCTTCGGTGGCGATTGGATTTCGCGTGATTTACGGTGGCCATCTGAGCTTGATCCATCTGAGCCACAGCCAAGACCTGGTACAAAAATCCCTTATCCTGCATGGATGTGCCCACAATTGCCCAGATGTCACCCATCCATAGCTGGGGGTGGTCTGGTGCCACTGGTGCCATGCTGGGGAGTTTTCCTAAGCCACCCCCCCCCAAAAAAAAAACAACCTTGCACTCCCAGCGTCTGATTCTTGTAGACCTCTTGCGCTTGCACTGCTGGGTAGCGTGGCTTCATTTGATAGAAGAAGTTCTTCACCGACAAAGGCTTCAGAGCTATGTCGCCTCATGTGGAGGCAAAAAACAACATTGCTAATCCTTCCAAATGAGTTTGGGCTACAACGGTATCTTCTCTGGTTGGGCGAAAATGTTTGAGCGGACTGACAAGTTCAATTAAAGCGGTTGATCGATCGATCAATCAATCAATCAATCAATCAAACAATCAATCAATCAAGCAAATCATTCTATATTTATCTATCTTTCTTTCTATGTCTGTGTCTATGCCTATGTCTATGTCTATCTACCTACAGGATCCACAGTATCTACAGTACCTGGTGCCTATACAGATTATAGTACAGATTATATATATAATATTACAGTATATATCTGGCTTTCCCCCTCACGAATCAACAGCTCTCTGGTTTCTCTGTCCCGGCGTTTGCTTTGCCATGCCTGGATTGACCAAAATAAATCGCGGAGCCAAACCAGGGATGTGGTGAAGGACCGTCTGCACAGCATAGAGGCTCCTGCTTCATGAGACGCTCAAACGCCGGCCACGAACAAACATCTTCACACAACTTCACAAATCCGCTGCACGCAACGGCGAGCAATTGCACGTTCTGCTCCAAAAGTTGTCCAGCCCATACGCTTCCCACTCCTACTTGTGATGTGTAGATCTACAGCGATACGCATGAAAACATATCATCTTAAAGAGCTTCAGGAATTCATTCCCTTGCCCAAGACCTCATCCGACCTTGCTTCTCCAAGACCTTCCTTGACCTAGCTGCCTCACCCCCGTGTGGCCTCGTTGGGCACACAGGCCCCTCACTGCTGGTGACCATCTCCATCTGCTTCTGCTTCCGCATTTTCTGGCGGCCTTCGCGGGAGGGGCGTGAATGCCTCAGCAAGGAGCTCTGGCGGCCCACACTGACTTCCAGTGATTTTGGAGGTTTAAGGTGAAGTGCTTTTGTGAGACCAAACAAGTAGGCCCGGCCGGGCCCTTGCCCCTTTCTCAGACACCTCTGGAAAAAAGAGAGAATGAACAAATCCCATGAGGGAACACCAGCTGACAAATCCCAGTTGCTCAAGGAGGCTTTGGAACGAGCCCTGATGGTACAAGCCGAGCTCCGGGAACGTCTCATCCAGCTGCTGCAGAATCGCCGTCTCCTGGCGATGGCGAGCATGCGATGAGGCACGTTCCCCCTGCTTCAGAAGAGTGGGACTTCAGATCCTGAGCGAGTTGGAGACCCAACACATAAGTAATATATGCTAATATATAATAGTGATCCCCAAATAGATAGTGGCACTGTGTCCAATACATTTTTGGAGGGATCCATCTACTTTTCCATCTTGGGAGACAACTATACTATACACAATCTGCGTCCCATGACGTAGGAGGCCAGGCGTGCCTGCCTTTGGGGAACAATCAAAACCAAAACCCATCACTTATTCAAATCTAACTCAAATCAAATGCATTCTGGTCAAAACTGAAAAAGCCGTGACCCTTGGGTTCGTCACCTTTTCCCGGATCTTCTCTGAGAGCCACTGGCTTAGCCAAAGGCTCCCACTCCCAAGGCTCCCGGGTTTTGGGGTCCCACTCCGCCGGAGATCCCGGTTGGATATACAAAGGGTTACCGTAGAAAGAAAAATGCCCCGAGGCGGCCCGAGAGGTCTCCTTTTTGAAGCTGGACCTGCCCTTCTTCTCGCTGGAGGGGTGCGCAAACAGCGAACATCGGTCCACCCAGTAGGTCCTGAGGCGGAGACAAGGACGGCGAAGGAGGGCGAAAGGAAGTCGGGCGAGGCCCGTGGCCCTGTGCGAACAAGTCCATGGATGGCAATGATCCAAAATTGAAGAGGAAGAAGTAGGTGGAAGATTTGATAAGATATGATGTGATATGGTTAGGATTCATTCATGAACCACCTGGCTGAATCAAGCGAAGGCTTGAAGGGGCCCATGGCGGCCCGATGAAGCGTTCATCTACACAGGTCGAGTCGAGCTTAACATAGCTTAACTTTATAGATTATACTTTCAGGGTTTGCGGATGTGGTTTGTCTATGATGTGGCCTGTATGCTTATCTAATATGTGCATGTTGCGAACAAGGCACTTGGACGCTTCAGGGATGAGGTTTCGCTTCAGCTTCCTCTTCCAAACGCTCTCGCACGCTGGGTTCTGGAGCACGTAGATGTGGCGTGCCCATGGGGCATTCCTCTGGATGGACTGCAAGGTGAAGATCAAGCCTGGGTCATTGTCCACCTCTGCCCATTTGGCCTCTGTCATGTGCTCCTCAAAGGCGATGGCCGGCTGACGCCGAGATCACATGTCATGCATGTTTGAACGACTCAGGGTTCCCAAATGGCCATGCAAATTGCATATGCATCCTTTTTCTGCTTTACTTTTGGCCACATCTGGATTCTTGGCACCTCAATGATTTGCCATGTTGATTTGCCGTGTTGAAACTGAAACGCCCTCTGATGTGCTGGGAGGTGACTTCACCTCCCCAAAAAGCGTGGAAGGCGTGAGAAACGAAACGTCCCCAAACGTGGCCAAGAATCACCCAGCAAGTAGTTGTCTTCTCGGCATCCCGCGGGGATCACGATGTCCTTAGGATTGACTGGAGCTTGACACCCGGAATGCACATGCGGTCTTAGTCCTCTGATGCTGACTACTGTGGCCAGCTACAGCTTTCGCCGCGATATAAGGCTGTACCAAATGGCGGCTGAAGGGATCCCCGCCCCCCCCCCAAAAAAATATGGAAACGGAAGAAACGCGGTCACTTCAATCATCTTCAAACCATGCCAGGCATCCACACTGCGGGACGACTCCGCTGGAAGCAGTGTGTAGCTGAGCCCGATCGCCAAGTGCAGGCGAAGCATGCGCAGTTCCATGACCACGAAACGAGGAAAACAAGGAACTGAACTGGCGCCACCCACCCGCACTTCGAGAAAACCAAAACAAACAGAGTGACCAGGAACAAAACATATTTTGTCGGATGAAATATATTGAAGCCCAGGGATGGTGAACACGTGGGTTGTGAAGATGTTCTTGCAAACAAAAAACCTACGGCCGGACCTCACGCAGGCCGGTAGGGTGGCGCCTTGCTCAAGGAAAGCCTGAAGTTTGAGCTGAGACAGCTCCTGCAAGGTGATCGGGCTCACCTGCTGCCACACCTTTAGGCCTTCTGGCGCGTGGAAGGAACAGGATGGGAACCGGCAACAAGGGGCTCTTGGAAGCGCCAACTATCGCCCCAACAAAACCGCAGAGTTTTCAGTGGGCAGACTGGACTCACGACAAACACATCCGGAGTCCACAATTCAACCGGGGGTGTCTCGAACAACCTCCTAAGAACTTCATTCATGTGATGTGGAGAAGGGAAAGCGGATGAACATGAGGCCCGGTAGTGTGAAGCCAGGACCTGTGCGACGTTACGTCTTTGATCTACCTGTGCTGACACGGGGCTTGCTGTTTCTGAGATCTCTCATGTCAAAAGGACACTTTGCCTCAAAAATTGGTCCTTGCAGCTCAGCTGGGACACACTGCCAGTCTTCTCACAAAGTCGAAGACCTCCAGTCCACCACTCGGGACCCCAACATGTGTGTAGCTCTCTGGATTACGCGAGCTATCTCATATCCCAGACACGACAAATGGGACTGCCATAGGACTGCCGCCCCATTGACCCCCTGGCACCACCCCAATGTAGACAATTGTAGACATATATGGCAGTCCCATGGAGTGTCTGGTTACGGATTCATATGGTGTCCTCGACCTGCCACACGTTCCACCGCCGCACCCGCCTGGCGGAGTCCGGCCAGCTGCATGCCGCCTGCCGCATGCGGGACAGGCCGGTCGCCGACTGGACCCTCAGTGAGTCATAGGGTAGACCCGGTAGACTGCCATAAAACCCCCAGAAAGATGGATCACAAATGATTGCGGGACCTCTTCATATTATATATATAGGGCGTTGTATTAAATCTAGATGACATTACCAGGCAGTGCTGGAAACCAGCTATGCACTTGGCCAGAAAGCCAAGGGACCGAATCTGGGATCAGGTTTGGGAGCAGGGTGACGGTTGTGCAGCTCAGCCCCTCTATGACCTGTGACAAATTGAAACTCCTCAAATCCATTGGAAATCCGGGACAAATCAGGTGGAGACTACAAAGATGTTCCCAATTTCTGCCCATGGCTGCCGGAATTCTTCCTGCAAGACTCCCGTTGCTCAACAGTGACCAACCCAATTGTCTACACGGGAAAGGGTCAAAAAGACCCCCAAATAAATAGATAGAAAAGTAAACCCACGCAGAAAATGTGTTGGAAACCGTGCCCCTATCTCTTTGGGAACCCGTCCTATCTATGATTCCTCAGGCCCCCTTCGCCCCCTCTCGCAGCACGGGCTTCGCCTGATGGAGGTCGGGTTCGTCTTCGAGACAGCCATGAGTTGGCAACGAGATGAGAAGATTAAGAACCGAGTCTTTCTTGGGCAAAACATTGGCCATGCTGTCTGATGTCCTGATGCATCCTCATCCTGCCGTTGATATTCATTGATAGCTGTATGATGTGTATGAATCTCAATGTGGATCTGTAAGAGTAGTATGTCCGGTCTAAAGCGGTTGCCCAACGAGTCACATCTGTTTCACATCTTCGATCGTAAAAAGGAAAGCGCCAGACTGGTGGGCTCCACCTAGACCTGGGTCCCTGTCAGGCTTAGCCTGGTCACTGCTAAGACTGCAAGACCTGGTGGCAATGATGCAAACTGTTCCCAGATCCTACAGAGACCAATGATGGCAATATAGGTCAAACAGTAAAACATGTTGATTTTAAAAAAATAACGTGTTAAGAGCACTAAACAACGTTTTTAAATTAACGTGATTTAAAATATGTGTTTATAAAGCTGTAAAACCATGAAAGCGCACTAGTTCGCTTCGCTGGCGTCACGCATCCAAGATTGAATGCCAATGGACAAGTGCGCACACCGCACTTGGGGGACCGGGCCGTGTGCGTCACCGTCACCGAGCCGTCGTCTTCCGTTGGAGGGTTCTTTATCCGGAAACCACTGTGTTCCATGACCATTCATGACCAGTACGGATTTTAACCCACCCAAACCCACCGAAACCCACCGGTCTGACCGGCTCCGCGGTCCGGGCTCCGGGCCGTCGGGGTCCTTGGGCCGCTCCGCCTCTTCGACCCGCTCCTCGCCACGGGAAGGACATCGGATGGATCGATCGGAGTCGGAGGAGGTGGCGGTTCGCACGAAGGAAGAGCCCAGACACGACCCATGGGACTGCCATAGATGCCGCCCCATTGGCCCCCTCAAACCACCCCAATGTAGGCATATATGGCAGTCCCATGGAGAGTCCGCAAACTTCTTTGCAACCCCCTTGGCAGTTGGCGGGGAAAGGGCTGCATGCAACGATCAAGTTGGAGTGAGCTTGAGAGAGTGATGCTTTCCGATGGGCGCACAACGCACGCCATGTGAATCTGACGCTCGTTGACGCACATCAGGTGCTGCATACAAAGTGATCTTTGGCATCCGAGAGTGGGATGTGAGTTTCTTGTGAAGTTGGATCAACTCTACAAGCTGCCCTTGTTCTAAGCCTAAGAGTGCAGCATGATGGGATCACCCATCTTCCAAGCCACTAAGTCACTAAGTGCGCTCTGTCCACCTTTTGGAAGTGGAGTAGCTCGTAATTCTGCTGCAGCGCTCAGGCAGTGGCCATCCAACTTACTGTGCTAGAAAGTCACCGCAACCCAACACAAGTGCGAGAGAAAAAGCCTTGCACCGCAACCACAAACAGAAAGAACAAAAAAAACATGAAACCATTCCTCCCCCTACACCTCCAAGTAACTACCTCCTCAGAAGGTGTTTAGACCCTCCTGGCACCCGGGCCCCCAGTCCCACCGAAGCTTCGGTACGACTGGAAGCCTATAGGACTGGTCCGCCCAAGTGCGCCTCCAAAGCTTGCATCCGCCCTTCCCAGATCGGCAACACCTTCGGCTTCCTTCCGGCCGTGGGTTCCAGCCGTGCCACGGTTCCCGCCACTCGGCGGTCCTCCATGCCCCTGGGCCACTCGGCGGTCAGCAGCACGTCGATCGGCGCCTCCTCCGCCTGCGCCTCGCGTTCCGCGTTCCGACGCCACAAATGGAAGGAAGACGGCCATATAATGCACGTGATGGCATACACCATATATACGTATATGTGCCATATATGCACTCCTCTGCCATATGGTTTGAGGGGTCACAACATCGCAGACGCGACCCATGGGACTGCCATAGGACTGCCGCCCGATTGACCCCTCAAACCACTCCAACTGATCGGCATATGGCAGTCCCATGGGTCGTGTCTGGGTATCGCAAGATGCCTTAGCTTCGGCTTCTGCTTGGGATGTCCAGGCCCGGTGGTCGCCGTCTTTTTATTGCACGGCAAAGGCTTCGACGAAGCCGATGAACTTCTTCGTCCAAGGTTCTTTCCTTGGGGTTTCGAAGCGCCCTCCCAATGAAAACATTTGCCAAATTTGGCTCTTCAGCTGCGTTTTCTTCAATGAAGCCAGGTTGTAAACGTGCTGAACTGGAATCCGGTGTGAACCGGCCCGGCACATATGTAAGAATCTGAACGACCACCGTGGAACAACCCCTGGTCGTCAGCATGTCATGGTTAAAGAAAGCTTGGCTGCACAGCCGCAGCCTCCGATATTTTAATACACAAAGGGCATGGTGCCGACGAGGTGCCTGTTATGTTCGCGGTCTAAGTCCAAACACTACTCATCACTAGGTGAAGAAAAACATATAGGACTCATGTGACTCAATCATCATACCCAGTCCCCGCGGCAGACATGGCTTGGATGATCCCCCCGGGCCCCGCATGAGTAGTCACACCCGCGTGCGACAGGGCACCAGCTTGATGAGTCTCTTCACAGCTGTGGCCGTGTAGGCCTTAAGAGGGTGGCCGGACCCTGCAGTCCATTGGGACTGCATCCATCCTAGAATCCTATAGGTTCTTGTATGGTCCCCCCACCCCAAATGCCCGTCGCCACTCAGAATTTCCAACGTTAGGATTAGGACATGGATAGTGAGGTTGGGAGCCGGGATCCGCCATCAAAAGAGTGATTAGTTGAGATAAAAAGGAGTTTCTATGAGTCTGGGGCAAAGTGCCAAACTCAAAAGCAAACAAGCTTAGGATCCCTGACAGCAGGGAACCGCCAAACCAAGCATGGAAAATCGTGGCAACAAATATGAATGCCGTAGAAGTATGCCTGTCTGGAGTCATGGAAGGACAACCATATGGCATATAGCGGCAGAAGCCCTGTCGTTTGTCCTCTCCAGCTCGGCCAAGTTGAGGCATCTCCAAAAATCCGGAGAGTTCTGTCGTCTATAAATAGTTGTAAAGTTCACGCTGTGCACTTGAGTCTCGGCAGTTCGAACTGTTTTCGACCTTCACTTACCGATGTTCCCTCTCAAGACTGGGAGGGCAGTTGCCTTGGAAAAGGGCGCGGCCGCGGCGCTTCAGTGCGCCATCGTGTTTTTCTTGCTCGCGGACTTCGGGTGCCGCTGCTACCATTTTCGCATTGGTAGCGGAGCCTCCTCCGGGGGGCTCCGAGTCCTTTGCGCGAAGAAGAACGAGGTTCTGCATAAGGCCTTTGTCACGAACCCTTGGCCGAGCTCTTTTGTTTCCTCGTGGAAGAGCGCTATCGGTCTTGGCTACTTGTTAGAGCATGCCACCAACGACATCGGCTGCAGAAGGCTCTAAGGATGGTGACTACCTCAACCTGCGCGACTCCTTCGTTCCACTTTTCAGTGGCCAACCCCAGGACTACAAAGAGTATAGAAAGAGGCTGATGCTCTACCACCACAAGATGAAGATCAGCAAGCGCACAGCCGAATCTGTCCTGAACATCCTGGGGAGCTTCCAGGGTGTGGTTTGGCGGTTGTTTGAGGACTTCTCAGTCGAAGAAGCTGAGAAGGAGGATGGCTTTGGCAAGATCATCTCCAAGCTCGATAAGAACTTCGAGTATGATGATCGAGTGCTCCTTCCAAATGACTTTGAGGAGTACTTCAACTTGCTGCAACGAAAGCCTCAACAAAGCCTCCTGTCCTTCGTCACGGACCACGACACCGCCTACCGTCGTTTGACCGCTCACAATGTGACCCTTCCTGGTCAGGTTCAAGGATGGCACCTACTCCGACGTGCTGCTTTGACAAAGGAGCAACGCCAAATGGTGACACTGAAGGCTCCCACGTTGGAAAAGACTCCAGTCATCGAAGCCCTGTACTTGTTGTTCGGCCAGGACTACAAAGCTGGCGGCTGGAACGCCGAACGTGATCGCAAGTTCAACCGTTGGAAGGGTCGCGGCTATGCTGCCTTCGATGACGAAGATGCCTACTGGACCGAGCAATCCTGGCCTGAAGAGGCCTACTATGAGGCCGACGACTGGTATGATGACATCGCCCCTGACGATGAGGCTGACTTTGACTATGACGCCATCTACTACGGCGAAGAGAATGAACCGGGAGATCATGATTCGCCCGAAGATCCTCAAGAGCTGGCAGAAGAATATGACCATGCCTATGCCACTTACTTGGATGCCCGGCAAAGATTCCAACAACTCAAGTTGGCCCGTGGCTACCTGCCGATTGTCGCCCTCACTGATGGCCAGAACACCTCAGCTGCCTCTGGTTCCTCTTCACCCTCGAACGGAGCTGGCAAGAACAAAGGAAAGGGCAAGAACAAGAGTAAAGGAAAAGGAAAGAATGTGGTGCGCTACCCATCTTCCTCCGGTGGCAAGTCAGATCCAAAAGGTCGTGCAAAGGCAACTACATGTCTTC